GTTACCCACTAAGCTATGTATCCATAACAGCTGAGAAAATTGAGGTTGAAAAGAGAATTACTGCTTTAGGGGTTGTTCCCCTTTCAAAATACGGAAGAAAACAGTCACAGAAAAAAAAGAAGCACATGGAGAAAAAGGGAGAAGTGAACAGAATATATACTATTTTAGACCTGTCGAGTGTACTTTCAAGACAAAAGGAGGGTGAAAGAGAGGATATATTTCACAATTGGTCTTGGTGTTCTGATGGTGTTGGAATAACTTAGATGTAAGCTGTATTAATTGTAAGTTGAAAGCTAAAGGGGTAAATACATAGACAAATAGCTAGAAGAAGAAGAAGAAGAAGAAGAAGAAGAAGAAGAAAGATGAGCTTTTATTGGAATATGAATAGATTATATGTTTATATACTTAATATGAAAAGATTGAATGATTATACATTTGATGTTCTCTTATACTCAAACCCCCATTTTCCACCCTTTCCATTGCCCTTTACCTTCTGTATCCCTTCCCCATCTCCTAATAGGTTTGAAAATAAATAAATAAATAAATAAATAAAACATCCCTGTGACCATGGGTAGAGGGAGATACGGCGCTGGCACAGTCCCTAATCGTGTCAGAAGAACAATGAACAGATGCTTAAAGGCTGTCCATTGTTCTGAGACTGTGACCAACCCTCAGTATCGAGGTAGGTCCCCTTGTCATGGTCAGATCACCACCTAATAAAGTGTAACCTCTCAGTGGCACTCCCCCCTCGCAGGGAGCAGGGACCTATTTCTATGGTCCGCCCTCGAAGACTACTGGATCCTGTTGGATTCCAGGAGGTCATGAGAGGTGTTTCGGCTGACCTGGCTGGCGCTCCTGTTGAGCCTCTGGTGGACAGCTGGTCCATCGCTGCCACTAGTGCTGATCGCACCTAAATGCCCTCTCCGGCTCAAAGCTCAGCCTGCGCCCTGGTTCAACCAGGAGCTCCGAGCGATGAAGCGATATAGCCGAAGGCTAGAGCGTAGGTGGAGGAAGAAGCCGACGGAATATAATTGGATAGCTGTTAGGGTCGCAACTAACCTTTACCTGTCTGAGGTAAAGGCTGCATGTAGATCATTCTTCGCTAACCGGATAAGCGAAGTGTCCAACCAGCAGGCGGAGTTATTCCGTATAGTGCGTGACCTATCCGGAACTGGTTCAGGTGATAGGCCTCCCCCTAGTTTTTCACCTGACCAGTTTGCAGCCTTTTAAAAATCTAAAGTGGAGGCCATCCGCCGGGAGCTCTCTCCTTTTTTAAAGACACTGAGTCGAGCAGAGATGTCCAGCACTCCGTCTTGTCCGGTGACTTTCAACTCCGTTCAGCCTGTAATGCCTGACTCTGTGGCCAGGGTGCTTGATCGCTGTCGAGCCACCACCACCTCCTTGGACCCT